GGTGTCTTCTGCACAGCAGCTCTTCTGCTGTTGATACAGAGGCAGAGCTGCCTCAAACAGATTGTCAAACTGCAGCGGGAAGGCCGGGGAGGGTTGGGGGGCAGGAAGGTAGGGGGGTAAGAGATCAACCAAAGGACTTGTGGACTTGTATGCATGCATATAAGCATAACCAATGGACATAAGACCCTGGGGGATAGGGAAGGCTAGGGGACTGTCTGGGGGGGGCGGGGGGGGAATGGACACATATGTAATACCCTTTGTAATACTTTAAGCAATAATAAAAAAAAAGCATGTTTTAAAAAAGGTGTAACTGGTGAACCTGTACAATGGGTACAAGGTCACTACATTCTTATTTTGTGTTTTAAAATCTCTATGTTAAAAAGGCGTAATACTTTAAAAAGGCCTTTAAATGTAAATTTATGCCAAGTGGAAAAAAACCCCAGCATGTATTTCAACCTCTTCGGTTGCCTCATATCCAAGCCAGAGTCCAAGCAGCATACTTTCCTTCTCTAGCTGGTTCTTTCCCCCTTTCTCCAAGCCCTAATGTGCACCCGTAAGACGATGCCAATGGCAAGAACCAGCTTACTCAAGTAGAATGGTGCTGAAACAATCCAGGCAAGACACGAAGTTTTAAATAGAGACTTTGCAACATTCTTGAGATGTGACCTCAAGAGCTCAGAATCCAATTACTATAAATATGAGATTATCGTTTCAAGGAAAGTCATTGTATAATGTTCCTTGAGGTCACATAAAAGCACTGATAAATCCAACTTAGGTATGCAGGTGGGTCTACACTAGCTTTTTAAGTGTTGGTCCCAAACAATTCCATTCATCAATAAAACGTACTACACCAAAATGCCTCCCTAAAACCGGAGCCAAGCTAGTCACAGATGAAAACAACCTGAATGGAGCTGAAATGAAATGTTAGAGTATCTTTATGCCTGCCTTTGCGCTGCCTTACGGGAGAGAGGGGGCACTAACCACTATTTCCCTGCTGCAGCCGGAGCCCATCACAAAGGAGCGGACAGCAGCACTGCCCTGCGAACGCCGAGGAGCGCGATGCTGTTTGTGAGTGTGGTTCGTCTTTGAGACAACAGACACCCGCCTGGCTCCTGGGGCGGCGCATTCCACAGGCTGATGCACACACCACCCCATTAAACCCGACTTTTATTTGCTCTTAAAGCAAAGCCTTTCTAATTAAGCCTGAGGCTGAACCTAACATACCGGATGGTCGGAAGACTGGAAGGCCGGCGCTACAGGGACCCGGCAGAGGCTGTGCAGGCGGCAAACCCCCAAGGACTGGCATAACTTGGAGCCGCTGCAAGTGGCCGGAGGTGGTTCCCAAGCTCCCCACGACCCCTCACCTGATTGAACTCCTCGTCGGCGTAGATGTCAATCAGGTCCACTCCTTCGGACATGGCTCCGGAAGGCAGATCGCGAGCCCGGGACACGGACAAAGTAAGGAAGACGCCACTGCGATATCCAGAAAGAGGCAAGGGTTAGCGGGCATGTGGGTCCCGGGGTGGACGGAGGGCGATGGTTGCCA